TTCGATGTCTTGATGGCATTTCTTTGAGGTTTAGAGAGGCTATTCCTGTAATTATTGTTTCTTTTTAAAAAAAAATTAATTTAATAAAGAACTCTGTCTCTTATTATGTCCAAACGTCGTTGCAAAACGAACGGTTGTTGTATTTTTAAAACACAAAGTTGAACAACAACATTTTAGTTTGACCACACCAATGCTGCGCTATATAGCCTACATCTCAACGAAATTTCACATATTTGTTTGACTTTTCGCCCCCTTTAAAACATTTAAAATATTCACAAATTAATATGGGGGAAAAAATTAGATTTTACTGGTTTTCTTAGGCCAAATTAGAACATGGATATTTATGATATTTTTCCCACAGTGCTATAGGCTATAGATGAGTTATTATAAATGTGTCTGAAAAAATAACGAGCTAAAAATAATCTCCAGATGCACCTTTAGAGAGAACGGCACCATTCATACAGATTACATAATCAGAAGGTATTAGTTTACGATTCGAATTTGTTTTTTTTAAAGTGGAAATTTCAAGCTTTAGTCTATAAAGGCTATTGTTTCAGTTCTCACGCTCCAGTTCACGAAGATCATAAAGCACGCCTGATTGTTTTATGTTATTTTACAAAAGCACAATGTTTTCTTGTTATTGTGACATTACACAAATAAAAGTAGTTGCGAATAATGTATTATTATTTTCTGTATAACCAGAAATGATAGAGTATTTTAGGTTGATTCCACTGTTGATGGGGAAAATGAAAGTGTTCATGGCGCGCCCACGTCTGTCTGCCATCCAGTGCGTGCTCCAAACTCCGCGCACACTCTTGAATATTGGTCAAAATCGAGTGTTTATTTGTAATAATCTTAGCCCTATTATTATTATTGTCCAACCTGTACAATGAATGAGATGTGACAAATTGCTTTGTTCCTTTTTTTGGATAAAAGTGTCTTCTACATATGAAGAGTAGTGATGTGTCGTTCATGAACGATTCGTTCATTTTGAACGAATCTTTAATATGACTCGGGACTATCGAGTTGTCTCAGGGAGTGATTCGTTCATGTTGTGTTACCCGCGCATGCGCATTGCGCTATATATGGATTCTGAATCTGTACTGGAAACAGAAATGATTAGTTCATCTCTCGAGTCTCGAGTTCGGGTTCGGGGCGAGTCCGAGTCTTTCGTTCTTCCTGTCAGTCCCATAGAGCCTATGCTGTCAGACCACCGGAAAGAGGAATGATTAGTTCATCTCTCGAGTTCGGGTTCGGCGGGTCCGAGTCTTTCGTTCTTCCTGTCAGTCCCATTGAGCCTATGCTGTCAGACCACCGGAAAGAGGAATGATTAGTTCATTTGAGTCTTCGGGTTTGAGTCCTTCGTTCTTTAGTCACGTGAATTGTCACCGTATTGAATACCCAAATTCACAAACTTTTTACAAACTAATTCACAAACCTTTTACAAACAGGCACGTAGATGATGTATAATATAATAGTAGTTAATTAATGTACAATATATAATAAAACACACCACAGATGCATAATATAGAAAAGAGACGTACACAATAATAAGGAATAAGGGACGTTTATAATGTTTATTGAACATATTTTGTATTTTAATGCCTATATAACACAATATTCAGACGCAGTCATTAATACGAATCTAATGTTGTATTTGATGCGAGACCCGTGGCCACGTGAGAAAAGAACGACGGACTCAAACCCGAAGACTCAAATGAAGTAATCATTCCCCTTTCCGGTACTGAAAGCATAGACTTAATGGGACTGACAGGAAGAACGAAAGACTCGGACCCACCGAACCCGAACTCGAGAGATGAACTAATCATTTCTCTTTCCGGTGCTGACAGCATAGGCTCTATGGGACTGACAGGAAGAACGAAAGACTCGGACCCGGCCGAACCCGAACTCGAGAGATGAACTAATCTTTAATCTTTCCGGTCCTGCTATATCGCATGGCACGGCCCAGCAGACAGCACAGATCAGAGTCAGACACTGACGAGTCAACAGCTAACGTCTCGAGACATGAGAGGAGGAGAACAAACCTGATAAATATGAAGTTGCAAAGCAAAGAACGTCTCGGATCAGGAGGTGAGGTGAACTATAACAGGGTCAGACTGCAATAGCCTGAACTTGAGACCCAGCAACTAATTAATAGCTAACGTTACAGTTATTTCAGTTGCTTTTGGCTTTGGCTGCATTACCCTATTATGTTATTTTTACAAATGTAATTAAGATTTTCGTAAGTACTAGATGTTTTGGGATATTTAACATGACATTTTAATGATATAATTATGAAATGACCGAAATGAACGAAATGACTCGATAAAAGATTCGTTCATTTTACTGAACGAGACTCAAAGATCCGAATCAGTAAAATGATCCGAACTTCCCATCACTAATGAAGAGTTCAGATGCAAAAGCCTCTAAATGCCATTTGAAATTTTCTTCTTTAATGATGATTTTTATCAAACTTGTATATTTAAGTTCAGTAATTTCACTTAAATAACAATTAATAGGTAATTATCATTGCCATTTAAGTGAAATCACTGAACTTAAATATACAAGCTTGATAACAATTATCATTCTAGAAGAAAATTTCAAATGGCACTTAGAGGCTTTTGCATCTGAACTCTTCATATGTAGCCTAATAAATGTTGTAATAGGCTAATGATGATAATTATTATTATTTGCAGACACGGACCTAAAACACACTCCGTCTTCTAAGTCAGGTTACTGTGAATGCGCAAAATCCGTTTCCATTGCAGTTTTGCGAAAAACATTTTTCGAATTGCCTGAAAAACCTCCTCATGCGAGCGTAAAAACTTTTTTGCGATAAACGGGAGTTTTTAGCGAAATTGACGTGTTTCCATTGAGCGTATTTTCATTTCGCAATTTCAATTTGCGCAAATTGAAGAGTAATGGAAACGCAGATTGTGATGCTCTATACAGTGCAAGTTAGGAGATTGATCATTTGATTAGCTTTTCGGTTGCGCACCTAAATGGCCAAATAAATACAGAAATATATCAAAATGCCAAGTTGAGTATTCACGTAAACACAGTAGATGTATGTACTGCGTAAGTATTTAACTATTTTTCCGGATGCGATAATTTCCATTTGCGTCTCTCTCTCTCTCTCTCTCTCTCTCTCTCTCTCTCTCTCTCTCTCTCTCTCTCTCTCTCTCTCTCTCTCTCACACACACACACACACACACATGCAGACAGAGAGGAACTATGCTAATCAGTTGATAACTCAACCTCACTGTGAAAGCCCTTCACAATTAATATTGAAGTATTGTTTGCTAAATATTTGTTTTTAGTTGTCTATGGACCTACTAATTAGCCTAATGCTGTTGAAATTTAATTGAAAAAAAGGCACGTCTTTAATAATAATATTATATATTTCTTTTGGTGTGGCTCTTTTGGAAAAATGCATTAACCATAAAAAAATTGGCTCTTTGGTCAAAAAAGGTTCCCGACCACTGAGCTAAGCAGTCGCATAATTCCAATTCCTCTCAGATATCACTCAATGAAACCAGGTTAAAACTGGGGAAATAACAAAATACAATAGTGTCTAAACATAACTGGTGTGTGCATGTGATAAATATTTCTGATTTTATATTTATTATAAGCTATTTATTAGCTACATGGCCCTACAGTGTAATGTAATACAAGGATAACCAGAGGTTTCTTTTCAAATATTGAATTTTGCAGGCAAGAGTAGTTAGTTAAAGAAAGTAGCTGGAGCCTAACAATGAAAAGGATGGCTAAAGGTGGGGATATTGCCTGCTTTTTTGCACAAAAAATAAATAAATAAATAAAATAAAATAATTCAAAAGTAGTACACTGGAGGAAGAGTGGAAAGGCAGTAAACCAGGAGGGTCATTTGTGGACTGTAATTATATGTTTTTAATTATAATAAGGACTTGAGTATTGTCCACTGTTTTATACCTGCAGTCCACTGCATCTTGGACACAATTATTGTACTTTTTAAAATACTTTTTCATTTACTTTTTAAAAGATGCAGTTTTGTTTTGTTTGAACACTGCACTGCGCTTATTCCTGTTGTGAATTAAAAACATATGCAGTGTGTAAGGGCATGATGAAACAATAACTACTTTAGTTTAAATGTGTTTTTTATGTTTGTTTTAAACCAATTCACAAATAGGGATTGCCATGTACCGTCTACCCCTGCCACCCTGGCAAGACCTCATGCCACCACCCCATGTAAAATTTTCTAGATCTGCCACTCCTTTTAGGTGCACCCACCACTGTGAGCGGACAAGCTGTCAGTATGATCATCAGGAGATGTTTGAGTCATAAATGGTTAAATAAAAAGGCTATTGTTATGTTTATTTTGGGGAAAAAGCTGCATAGACTGAGCCTCTTTTAACTCATGAATTCAAACTGCCATCACTTCAGTCTGGGAAACCTTGACTTAATATTTTAATGCACTTCATGTTGTTGACAACAAACTGTAATTTTATAAATATTTACTTGATGTATTTTCCTTTCTTTGCATCTTTATATAATTATCTTAAAATAGTCCCCTATTGAAATCTATGTGATAAGTTAGGTCAAAAGTAATCAAGAAGATTTTTAAATGTGTAGGCCTAATATATTATAAGATGGATTGAATTACAAACTAAAATTCTGTGTCAAGTAATATGGAATCAGACAGTAACCAACTACAATTTGGAAGTAATTAAACCAGCACCAATCCTCACTTAACTAGTTGCTTCTTATCAGCATGCATATTACTATGATTTTTGCTGTTTAATTATACTTATAAAAAATACTACTTATAATTATACTTATAAAGAATGCCTATTTTCTGCATGACCATATTCTACACTCAATACTTAAACAACTACCTTACAAATAGTAAGCATTAATTATGAGTGTAAATAGGCTAAATTAATAGTTAGTTAATAGTGAGAATTGGACACTAATGTAAAGTCTGACCTAAATTATATTTAAAAGTTCTCAACTGTTCTTACCAACAACCCACGTATGACCGTGTTGGAAAATGCTGAACTGTCTGCCAATGTCCGAGTTTTCCCAAACAGTCTGCTCAGGAGTTCCTCCAGGACAGCACTGCTCCAGACTCAATAGATTCCCGTCCACGTCGAATACGATCTGCATCATGACTGAATGATAACCCATAGTGTTTATATACATGTGCTCCTCCCCGGCCGGAGGGCTCACCTTCACGTGCAGAGACCCCAGCACTCCCACCACATGCGGGATGCCGCTCACGTTCTTAAAGGCTTGTGCGGCACCCATGCGGTCATTATAACTGTTCGGGAAGGTGATGAAATCAGGACTCAGGTCGGATAAGAGTTTGGTTATGCGGTTCACCGCCTCGCTCGCTGCTGTCTGATCTATTCCCAGGCGTTCTGTGATTTTCCTTGGCAAAGACCCGTGTGCGAAGTAAGCAAGCGCGGCCAGAATGTTGGCTTCTGCGGGGGTCGAGCTGTGGCCGGGCGCAAACACGTCCTTCTTTAACCGGGCCTGGATGAAATCGACGATGAACAGTAGACATTGCCGATTGAGATGTAAACACTGAGACAGAAAGTGATCATCCAGTTTGTCCAGGACAGTGTGTGTCTCGGGCGCAGCAGAGATGTGCTCACTGATGCTGGGTTGTTTGTCTTGTTTTGTGTTGCTGATGTTGGATGATGTTGTATTGTTGTTGTTGTTACACACGCTGTGTGTGAATAAGTCATCCTGAACAGCAAACCACAGCGCTCCAGCTAAAGACATTATGAGAAGCAGAAGAAAAAGAATAACCTGAAAGAATATTATTTATATTTTTGTGCACTGTACCATACACGAATCTTCAGATAAGTTAACTTAGTCCATGACAAATTCAGTATAACTGAGTGGAATAACAAACAGGCATTGCTTGGCACAGCTCTGTTGCACCATGTTAATATGCATCTGACCGCCTGCCAATGTAATTTACAAATTCTACATTATACTTGTAAACAAACAAACAAACGCAAAAACAACGAATGAACTCAAAACACGCTTTGAGTCGTTTGTGTTTTAACATCCGGGTCATGTGAAAAAAAAAGTCTTTCATAATAAAAGTCTTAACTGGTCTGTAAGCGAAATCGTTCTGAAGAAAATACAGCACAATAAATGAAATTAAGACATTTCGTGAATTGATTCATTAAAGCTTTATTTGGATGATAGTAAATTCTAAAAAAGGACGTTGAAACTCGTTTTAAGATGTATTCAGACCCCCAAAAACTCTTAAATTATGTTTTAAATTCAAGAGAGCATTTGATTGGATTTTATAATTATTATTATTTATTTTACAAAGAAGAAACAGCATTTCATTGAATACAGTAACAAAGTAATAAATAAGTAAATAAATAAAACAAAATTGAATAGTTATTTAGAAATGCGTTGTTCTTACTGTTATCAAAATCTCAGCAATAAAGACATCAAATTTTGGCAAAGTCTTGAGAAATGTGTTTTTGTGAATAAACAATATTCAATGCAAGTGAAACACAAATGAAATTAACAACATTATCAATAGCATGGTCACTCCCAGAAAAATAGAGGAATATATCCTTCAATGAAAAGTTTAAATCACATTATAAAATGAGTCATTTTATGAATCATTATCTGTGACTGGACAAACTGGACACAACGGAATGGCCAGAGGTGACGTTTCCCGACTTTGTTTCCTACCTGATTGAGTCTCCAGGTAAGAGACAGCTAATCTTATGGCCGATTCGCGCGGGATTAAGATCTCAGACAAACTCCGCAATTTTTTACAAATTAATACAGGTCACCAGATAATACTAATCCCGTGCGAATAGGGCTTTATTTGCTTATTCAAGACAGTGCACATTAATGAACAATATCTTACACTCGTGTAGAGACTGTAAATGAGCCATATTAGCATAAATTCTCATTTTCATTAGGTACCAGTTAGGAACCATACCTTCTATATTGATCCTCAAAACTTTTGTTACCATACGGATGTGATGGTCGGATGATTACTGGTTGGGAACTAAACACTTTGATGTCCTGGTTTTTCAAGGCCCATGTATGGGCCTTGAAAAACCAGGACATCAAAGTGTTTAGTTCCCAACCAGTAATCATCCGACCATCGCATCCGTATGGGAACAACAAGTTTTGAGGATCAATATAGAAGGTAGTGTGGTACCTAACTGGTACCTAATGAAAATGAGAATTTATGCTATAATCTAGCTGGCTCATTTACAGTCTCTACATGAGTGCAAGATTGTTCATTAATGTGCACTGTCTTGAATAAGTAAATAAAGAGTGTACAAAAAGCAAGAAATTACTCGAGATCTCATAAATTAAAACAGTCAAAAACAAACAGTCACATTTACAGTAGAAACCTTTGAGCAGTTGGTTTAAGAAACATCAACACTGCCACACATCACAATCATCAGCATACAGTGGCTTTTCATATTTAGAGTTTATTTGTTCTTTCACACATTATTTTTCTATGACTGTTAGTAAAAATAGGTTTGGGGATATTTTTCAGGTTTAGTTTATTTCTGGGTACATATCTGTCCCTAAACTATGGCTGACAAGTCCCCCCCCCCCCCCACACAGGCAAACAAAGGGAGCTAAATGAAAGACAGGTGAACTTAATTAGTGATAATATGGTTAACTTATAGCTCCACATGAGTTCCTATAAGAGCAACAGTTTGATTGTAAAGGAACATTCTCTCAACCCCAGTTCAGGATTGCACATGGATTAAGTTTCGGAGTGTTTCTTTGGATTTTCAACTATATGGTGATGGTCCTATGCTTTTTTTGATTCGTTTTTTTCTCTCTCCATTCTTGCAAACATTGACTTGAATTAGTACAACAAAAAGGTTTTTTTTTTTTTTTAATTCACTTCACTTGCCCTTGTGACAAAGTGCACTTTAGCATTTAAGTAAATAAAACTTTAAAATATACATAAGTGCAAGAAAATAATGTTTTCAGACTTAATTGCCTGTTTATAGAAATGTAAATAAAACTGTGTTCTAGTTTAAAAGTACTGTATATGCAGTTAGCTGAAACAGTCATTGGTTTGACCCAAGCTTATCTCTCTATATATAATTACATAACTACTTGTATTGTCTTTGAAATATGGTTCGTGTAGTACTAAATTTACTGGGCATTTATGGTCAATTAACATTTAATCTGGTTGTGGTGTTTTACCTAATGCAACTTCTACTCTCAGAGCTTTAAACCGTATTCTATCAAACATACCATGTTCTTAAACGGAATGATTTCACTGAATCCAATCTTCATTGTAGGCTATAAAGATCAACATGGAGAAAATGGTCCTACAAATCCCTCTGATATTGCTGGTGCTGCATATACAAGGAGGAGAGTTGACTAGAAGTCCAGTTTGTTCACCCATTGCCGAAGCTCCACAGCCGGAAGTCGTGGAGTTCAACAACACGATCTATGCCACTTGTGAAGTAACTCCCAGCCCCAATTTGCCACCTTCCCAGCCAAAGATCTTTGGGCAAATCCTCTTCAAGCAGGTCTTCCCCGATGGAGTTTTAGAGGTGAAAGTCAACCTCCGTGGTTTCCCTGCCAAGGGTCGTCAAGAGCGTGCCATTGACGTCCATCGGTATGGAGACCTTAGTCAAGGCAGCGTCACTGTTGGTCCTCCTTACAATTCAAATGGTGTTGACCGCCCAAGTCGTCCTGGAGACATGGGCAACTTTGCTTCTGAGAAAGGAGTTATAAGGCTGTCCCTGGATCTCCCAGAGGCCAAGCTCTTCGGGGCTTATTCCATTCTGGGACGTTCGGTGGTGGTTCACGAGAAGGAGGGTGATTTTGGAATGGGGTCAGATGAGGAGAGTCAACCGAGTGGGTGTTCTGGACCGATAATTGCTTATGGTGTCATTGGTATTACTTCTCCAAGTCTGTGGCAGAAGACTGGACCGCTCCCCAGGAAAAGCTGTGGAGGAGGTCACTGAGAGACGGATATGGTGGAAAAGCAGATTCAAATGGGATAACCATGCTTTTTCCTTGTGTGTTTGCATATGTCCTACATTAAAGTGATTCTTAATACTCTGAAATGATATCCCTAGATTTATTGCCATTACAAACACTTCCAATGCTTTTGACTGGTTTCCTGGTGTCCAGCAATTCGTGTCTGTTTTGGTCTTTTCAGAGACTTTTTGGCCATAGCTCCCAATAGTAAACAGCTCCACTCTTAAAAAAAAAATGTCCACTTTACCTGCGTTCATCCTATAGTTTAAGTTTGCTTGTACTGTGCTTAATGGGTTTACACTTTCAGAGCATGACAATGGTCTATAAATAGACACTATTTCTCTAAATGATAAAAGAGCGTTGCTTGATGCTATGACACTGATGGGTGTGACCACACCTCAAGGGTGGCTAGGGGAGGGTGGGGCACAACATAACGCCTTTTGACTTTATCAGTTTGTGTAAATCTGCTTGGGTTTAGGTTATTTATTTTCCCACATGTCTATTACAATTGTGGTTTTATTAATACAGTGTATACTTGATTCTTAATTTACCCAGAAAGAATGGAAGTGAAATGTGACAACATGACCCATAGGTGGGGTACATTGTAACATGTGAGGGGCACATTGTAACATATGACCGCTTAAAATGCTATCTGATCTAATCAAAAAATTAATGTACAATTCAGACAATTTTTTTTACGTTACCAGTATGATTTTTTTTCATGTAAAATAAAGGCTTTTTATATTGAAAATAAACAAATTTGAGTTTGACAAACACATCGCAAAACCCAGCTATACAGCATAGTTCAAAATAATTTCTGAACATTGACTCTCAGTTTTTATTAACATGTTTGTCGTGTTATCTCAATAGAATTCATAAAAGTATAGAATATGATAACATTTCTAATGGGGGCACATTGTAAACATGCCACAACTGGGCATTAAACCATGCTAGCGTCTTCTGCTAGTTAATCGAAGCATTAAAGAACTATATCAATTGCAGGGGTGGAAACTAACAAACTGTAGTTGAGTAAAAGTATTGTTACTTAATAATTGACTTGAGTGGAAGTACTGAAAAATAATATGACTCAAGTAAGAGTAAATAAGTAGTTTGCTTAAATATTCAAGTAACTGCATTACAAAGTTCTTTAGTAATATTTTTGTCTAATTTTACCAAAAATGGGAAGATGATAGCGATGTGGAGCACTAATCACTCAACCCTTTAATGCATTGCGAATCAACATAGCTTGTATGATTTCCATTTCCCGAGAGTAGATGTTAAAATTTTGTGCTGATTTGTACTCCGCTTTCGCCAAGATAAGCACAAACTAAGACGTAGCTTTCCAATGGCATACGCTTTTCCATCCATTTACACTTATTTCCTTCTGTCCGGTGTTAATGGCTGCAGGGTACTTGGCGCGTCATCACACACAATGGCTGCAACCACAGTGTGGTCTCCCCAGTGGACCAGCACGACAACCGTCTGCATTGAGCCGAGTTGGGGACATCTCTGACTCCCGTCCTTAAAGGATCAACTCCAGGCCAAACCCTGGTAAGTACGCGGGTAATGGATCCACTTCAAGACAGACCAGGACAGCAAGAATCGGCTCCAAGCCGAACAACGGTGGGTGTACAGGTAATGGCTCTTCTTCCAGGACAGTCAAGGCAACGGGAGATGAGTAACTCGCGTCTCTAACGGATCGGCTCCAGGCCGGACAATGGTAGGTACACGGGTAATGCCTCCTCTTCAAGACAAGCCAGGACAGCAAGAATCGGCTCCAAGCCGAACAACGGTGGGTGTACAGGTAATGGCTCCTCTTCCAGGCAGGCTAAGACAGCGGGGGATGAATTGCTCAGGTCGCTATATAAGACACACTCAACAAACACTGGTTAGGAAGACGCAACGCCCCTCGAGTTTAGGCGATCCAGCAGGTCAAAGCCACAAACTAAGGCGGGACTTTACTCCTCACACTCATGTATTCAGCAAAGCACTTCAAACGTGCAACTATCCACAATCTGCACTGCAATCCACACACTCACAGTGAACTGGGGCCTTTGCTCGTAGCTCCAAACGGGTTC